TTTGAAGGTGAACCAGTCACACTGTTCCTCGAGCAGCTTTTTCTTGATTCTGTCTTGGTTCATCTCAGCTAATGCTTGGGTGAGTTCTGTGCGAGTTCCAACGAAGTTCGTCCCCTGATCGCTCCTTAACTGGCGGATAGGTCCTTGACGACTTACGAATCTTCTCAGGGCATTTATAAATGAGTCAGTCTCGAGGGAGTTGGCAATCTCGATGTGTATTGCTCTTGAAGCCATGCAGGTGAAGAGCACGCCATAACGTTTTAGTTCCTTCCTTCTCTCTTTGATGACAAAGGGCCCAAAATAATCAACGGCGCAGTATGTGAAGGGTGGAGTGGACTCGAGGCGATCTTCGGGTAAATCTGACATCCTTTGTTCTTGCACTGCTCCGCGCAGTTTCTGGCACTTGACGCAGGATGAAATCATGTTGGCGACTACCGATGAACCGCTGACCACCCAGAAGCCATTTGATCGTACTTCATTTAAGGTCATCCCTTTGCCTTGATGTTGTGTACGTTCATGAAAATGCTTGACAATCAGCTTGGTGACGTGGCTGTTTCGAGGCAGGATGATGGGAAACTTCACGTCTTCTGTCAAGCTTGCACGTCTGAGACGTCCACCGACTCACAAAATTCCGTTTCCATCCAAGAACGGGTCGAGCTTGTAGAGTGAGCTGCTTGTTTTCATGTTGGTCTTTCTCTGTCGGGCGAAAACTCTACTGTCAGGGTCGGTGTTTTCCTGCTTCATCTTCTGTAAAACTTCTATTACCTCTTTAAAGGCTTTAATCTGTGCATCACAAATAATTGCACTCTCGGTGTTCTTCAAATCACTGACGTTCAGCACTTGCACTTCTCCATGGATGCACTTCTTCTTGAGCGCTCGATCTCTCAGAACTCTGACGTAGCGTTGACATAGGGCAACTGCTCGCTTGGCTCGATACCAGTCAGAGAAATATTCTATTCTTTCAGCAAGGCTCAACTTTTCTGAATGTGCTTGCACTATTGTCGTGGTTGCCATGGCGACAGACTTCTTAACTTCTGGGTCGTTTTCTGGGAGTTTGTGGTCTTCTTTGGGTAGCCACTTGTTTTCGTTCTCCCAAAGAAACGCTGGCCCAGTAATCCAGCAGGCCTCGAGACGCTTCATCTGCTGGGTTTTGTTTTGACTCGACGTACTTCCACTGATCAATTGAAGTGTTTTCTTGAATTTCTTGAACTCTGTTGGCGACGAACACGTGAAAACGCCTACTCTCATTGGCTATATATCCAAGTACCACTCTACTGTCTGTCCAGAAGTATTCTTTATCAATGGTGTACTCTAGCTCAAGTCGCAACTGCTGTCTGATTCTCACTGAGCACACGGCGGCGGTAAGTTCCAGGCGTGGTATAGTTACAGGCTTCAACGGTGCCCCTCTTGACTTTCCCATAACAAAGGAGCGATGAACTCTCTGGTTTTCGTCTACAAGGCGCAAGTAACTACACTGACCATAACCTTTGACGCTCGCGTCCGAGAAGTGATGAAGTTGTGCGCTCACAACACGACCAAAGTCATCGGGCTTATAGCATCTGGGAATTGAAATGCGTTGAACTTCTAACAAATCTGATCTCCACTTTTCCCACTTAACTTTTATGTCTTCTGGTATCGGATCATCCCAGCCTACTTCATGGCGACACAAATCTTGAAGAATTGACTTTCCATCCAACAAGAGCGGAGCAACGAATCCGAGCGGATCAAAAATCGAGCTCACAGTGGAGAGTATACCCCGTCTAGTGCATGGCTTATCTTGTAGTACGATAGCGAACTGGAAGCAGTCAGACTCAACACACCACTGGACGCCGAGTGCGCGCTCTAAGGGAAGTGAATCGAGGTCTAAGTCTAACTCTTTCACACCATCTGCTCTGTCTTGCTCTGGGATTCTTCTGATGACTTCTTTACTGTTGGACACAAACTTGTGAAGCCGGAAGCCTCCTTTGCTGCACATCTGCTTTACGGAACGGAACGGACTTCAAACCGTCGTCAATGTAGAAGTCCTTACGAACGAAATCTGCGGCGCTAGCTCCAAATTCTTCTTCAAAATCATTGGCCGTAGACTTCAAAGTGAAATTTGCACAGCCTGGGGACGAGGTGGCTCCAAACAAGTGTACGGTCATTCTATACTCTTTCGGTTCTTTGGTGAGGTCGCCATCTTCCCACCAGAAAAAGCGCAACAAGTCTCTGAATTCTTCACTCACTTTTACTTGGTGAAACATGGCTTCTATGTCACACATGAAAGCGATTGGCTCTTGTCGAAACCTGCAAAGCACTCCAGTCAAATTGTTTGTCAAGTCGGGGCCTTGAAGCAGGTGCTTGTTTAGCGATTCACTTTTGTACTCGGCAGCACAATCGAAAACTACATGAATCTTATTGGGCTTCTTAGGGTGATAGACTCCGTGGTGTGGAATGTACCAAACGTTCACTTTCTCTTGAACTTGACCATGGGATGCATGTTCCGATTCAGACATTTCTGGTACCCTCTCAGCGTATCCATTCTTTATCAATTTCTTCATAAATTCCGAGTAGTCCGTGTAGTATTTCTGGCCGTTTCTACCCACGAACCTTCTTTTTAGCTGATTAAGTCTGCGAAGCGCAACTGTCTTGTTGTTTGGAAGCTCAATGGTTTCGTTCTTCAAGGGTAGTGGGAGCTCATAATGGCCATCATCGCGATGTTGAATTCCCTTTTCTGCTATCTGAATAAACTTTTTGTCTTCTTTGGATAGACCATGCTTCGATTTGTTTTTGTGTTCCAAGAAATCAAGCTCGAACATCTGATTAATTGCTGATGGGTTCATGACCTCCTTCATTTTCCCGTGGAGAATGAAACTCAACTGGTTAGCGCTGTCACTTGCTCCAGAAATAACCTCTCTTGTCAAGGTACGATGACAGGTGGAATCTAGGGCGTGGCCATCTCTAGGGGTGTCTGATGTGGCAACTGGTCCCACTATACTCCAACCTAGCAAGGTTCGGACAGCGTAAGGTTCTTCTCCTTTACCGCGAATGACTTCTGTTGGTGCGATCGCTTTGGGGCAGTTGCAACCAATTAGCAGGCCAATATCTATGTCTTCATTGTACGGAGGAATTTTGCCTTGGATCCTTTTAAGGTGCGGCCAGTTGTTCACGGTTTCTGGTCTTGGAATTTGGTCTCGACGGGAAGGAATGGTCTGCCTTGAATACGTCTTGGGTAGGTCAACTTCGGTGTGTTTGTCAAGTCGCTGAACAATCAAGCCATCAATTCTTTCAACTGCTATCCTCTGTCGACCAAGCATCGTGCTTAAATCTAAACTAGTTTCAACACCCTTGATACCGAGTTCACGCTGTACTTGGGTGGTCACGAAGGTTGTGTCACTTGCATCGTCTAGGAGGGCGTAGACCTTGATTGCTTTGGCTGGGTTATCCTTGTGGAACAGAAGGACTTGGATGATTCGACAATTAGTGATTACGCTGGCAGACTCTGTAGCTGAGCTGTGCGTTACACTGATCAGGTTTGAGCTCACGGATCCTGAAACTGGAGGTTTCTCACTGAGTGGTTCATTCTTGTTAGATGGGCGCTGAGTTTCTTGTGACTTGCGGTCAGGCTGTGGACGACTCTCGGTGGATTTTGGTTTTACGCCATGCAATAAGCTGTGGTGACGTCTTCCACATTCTTTGCAAATGGATCTATTACGACATCCCGAAGACATGTGACCTGACTTAAAACAGCCGAAACAAAGAGCTTTACTGCGAATAAATTCACTGCGTTCATCTACCGAACTCTTGAGAAATTTGCTGCACTTGACGAGGGCGTGCTGACCGTTGCAAAGGGGGCAGGCCTGATCTGTTTGATCGGCAAATGGTTTTGTCGATGAGGCAAGATCGCTGGGGTGTGGAGTACCTGATGTCGCGAGTGAATTGGCACTCAAATTACTATCGTCCTTCTTCTTTGACTTGTTCTTCCATCCCCACTTCGGCTGGGTACCAGTCTTCTTGCCTTCCGCTTTCAGGGCATCAGGTGAGAAGATGGGGTCATTTGCAAGTTCTGCTTCTTCTCTGACAAAGTTCATAAAGGTGCTAAATGTGATTATTTTCTTAGACTTGGTTTGCCTTTCATGGGCATGCCGGCACCATTTCACAGCAGAGTAAGAAGGAAGTTTGCTGCTGACAAGGTGGAGAGTTTCTGTTGAGTCGAGGTCTCCCATTGACTGCATCGTCTTCATTGCTTCTTCGCATCGTATGAGAAAATCAGAGAAGTCCTGGAGGCCACTGCTATCACCATCATTTATCTTTGGCCAGTTTCTTAGACTAGACTTGTAAGCCTCAGCTACGTGGACGGGATTCCCGAAACGCTGGTTTAACATCTTCCGAGCTTTATCGTAGGCGCTGTCAGAGCTCATAGCCAGGAAACCTTTCACTACGTTGTTAGCCTTGCCTCTGGTGTACTTGTCAAGGAAATACAGCCGGTCTTTGTTCGATGGTACATTACTGCAAATGATGGAATCGAAGGCAGTCACGAAGGCTGGATATTCAAAGTAATCTCCGGAGAAGACCGGCGGCTCTTTAACCGGGAGGCTGCTAATCTTCTGCTGATTGATAATTCATGAGCTCAATTCGGCCTGCTTCACTTGTAGGCTGACGATTTCTTGAAGAGTGGTATTAACACCATTCTCTTGAAATTGGGGCGTGAACGCAGGATCTGCTTTCCGAGGCTCAAAGGGTGGCGTTAGATAACTTCCAGGAACGAACGGAGGAGCGTACGGGTTAGCCTTAAAGCTTCTTTCTTGTTTAATGTTCTCGTCACTAACATCTGGTTTTAACTCCTGTTTAACCGCGGGATTAACGTCTTTGACACTTGACTCCTCTTTATAGCCCGCTAGTCTTTCTTCATCTAGGATTCGCTTTATCGCTACTTTTTCGGCGCTTGCGATAGCTATCTCTTTCTCAAGATGCAGCCGCCTTAATTCTCTTTCTTTGTCGAGAAATTCCATTTCGGCCTGTAACTTGGCAGCCTTGGATGCGGCGTCGAGTAGCGCAAAGGAAAGATGTTTTGTAGAGGACGTACTAAATTTAGACTTTCCAGATGCCTTTGATTTCATGCTGTGATCAGATTTGACAGATCTCACTGACTGTGCCCGACTGAGGTATCTTTCAAGTGACTGCATACGTTCACAAAGTCTAACTCTGCACTCAATAAATTCCCGATCGCGAATATCGAACCGTCGATATGAATCTTCCTTTTCTTTTTCTGACTGAATTAGATCATCGTGCTCCTCGAATGCGGTATTGAATTTGTCTTTCAAGTTGTCCAATTTGAATCTCTCTTCTAATTGTTCTATTGTTGTCTCGGGTAAATCGCGCAGCACATTAATCTTATCCATCTGTTGTTTTAATTTTTTGAAGGCGGAGTTCCGATTAAAAAGTTTTGTTTTCAGCTGATAAGCCAAACCCTTTTCGGTCATTACTCTTCTTCGTCCAGTTGTTTTGGAGAATTCGAATCGTGAAAGTTCTACGCCCGCCACACTCCTGGGTGGCTTTGGTATTTGAGGCGTCGCCTCAAAGTCCAACTCTGATGGTGTCCTAATACGTCCGAGGACCGGTTCGCTAAAAACACTCATCGTTCCTTTGCCAAGAAACAAAGTACCAAAGGATCGAGACGAAGTTTAAATAGAATTCAAAACCATTTGGCGGAATTAAGCTACGATATTTTACTGTGACGCTTGCGACGAAAGAGGAAACTTCGAGGGGTGTCGCTATGCGTGTTTTCTAAGTGTCGCTGATGTGGGGACTATTTTACCGGTCGTAATGAAACCACGAAAACCAAGATGACTATCAACGGTGTTTATTTAGATCACGGTCACGATCACGATCGTAAACTGAAATTGCAATAATATTATAACGGAAGCATGAATAAACGCTTTACGTGCCTATGTCGATAACGCAATTAAAATAACAACAATCAACGTGAATTAACATAAACAAATCATAAAAGGCTAAATTAAAACTACTCGAGATTCAAAGATCGGCTACACAATGACCATTTGCGGCTGATTAACAGCCCAAAGACTAAAATGTGGGCGTTACTTTGTGAGTGTCTAGTTATTTCAAAATACTCCTTCGATTTCAAGATAATTAGTTGTACTGTTGTACAACACAGTACATATGTGCGCTATCGCCCAAGGCGAAAAACTAAACTTAAACATATTGAAATAAAACTAACAAAATCACTTACATATCGGTCCCTCTTGTGCCAAAGGTTTGGAACGAAAGACAAAGTTATTGCTGTTCAAGGTGAAATCTCACGAAACTCTGGCTTATAGGGATGCTAATTTAGCTTTTATATGTGCGTGGTGGCGCTAAAATATCCGATTACAAACCAATAGGGAAAAGATAAACATTGTAACTAAGATCGTAACTAGGCATGCAAATTAAAGTAATTGACAATTGATCTAATCAACAAAAAAGGCTGTTCTTTGTTCGATATCCTTAACAATATTTATCTTATTAACTAGGCATGTTTCTCACATTACTGGTGCACAGAATTTGTTGAGGGCTTGGCTATCATTATTGTAACAAGAGGGTCTGGATGGGGGTATCTCGAAAACACTAAACACTAAAATTTTACCTTCTATAACATCAAACATTAAAATTTTGGGCTGTTTAACATCTAACACTAAAAAATTCTCTGAAACACTAAAATTGATACAAATGTAACGAGAAACGGCTAAAAAATGCGCCAGATACTGATAACGATAAACGCGGGCATTCAATATGGAATCAGCTACAATTGATTTACATACTGTGTCATTTTGATTGCAATTTTGTGTTGTTCATTGTTTATGTCTCTATCATGGAAAATCATTGGAGACTATTTCTCTGCAGAAGGGTACATTATGCTTAACAATTAAAATTTTCCTCTGTCGTTATCACACTTTCGCAAACTTTCATTTGAACAATTTGTTTATTTAATCATCATCATGCTCCTTTTACCTACCGGGAAAAGGCTGATGCATCCTCACTAGCCATCCTCTTGTTTCTTAGCACATGTATTAGCAGCAAGCAAGCCTTGAATCTAAACTCCCCCTTTCCTTCTTTACGGTTTGTCTCCAAGTCTCTTTAGGTCTACCTCTTCATCGTTTGCTTTCCAGGGTCCAAGGTGGCGCTATTTACGGGTTGTTATGCAATTAACTCTTGATCACAGATTCATCACAAGGTAATGTATATGCGCAGACCCAATAGTGCAAACTCTACAAGTCAAGGCGAAAATGAGCGCGAATGGCGCGCCCGGACCTGGTGAGTGTTGTTGTGTGGGGGTAGGAGTCGTGATCGTCATCATCCACATCGGTGCCTGAGTCGGTGTCGTATTCATCCTCTTGATCTGGCACTTCAACAACAGCAACTATTTCAATAGTGCTATCGTCCACAAACGTGATACTGGGTGCGTGCGAGTCCCCATCGTCATCTATGATATGCGGAGTAATTTGTTCCATTACTTCTCCTTCAACAGTTGGGTCGTTGTGGAACATTACTTTGGTATGAGGAGGTTGAGTGTAATACACTGCTGGTGGGAGAGCTCCGGCTTTGTCCTTTGTGGTTTCACTGCGCACTGTTCTCTGCCTCACGGGACGAAATTTATCCACCAACTCCTTCATCACTACTTCAAGTAGAGGATCTATCCTTGCAGCTGTTGGAGACTTCATCACTTCAACATCTGCCAACTCCATACTAGATGTTGGAACTGGATAAAACGATTTGTCATATGTAAAGTATTTGGCACTCCATTTTGTTGTTCTTTTTAATGATTCTTTTGCAATTGTTCCAAAGTCTCGAGCATACTGTAAAGCTGTAAAAGTCTCGTTTTTGAAGTGGGAGACTGCATGAAGGTTTTCAACTATAGTGGTCAGTAATGTACGGAGGTCAACGTCACCAACATAATCCTCATTTATGTTCTTCAAGTTATTTTGCAGTCGTGCCATACCTTGTTCAAGGAGTTCTAACGAGACTTGAGTTTTCTTTGACACAGTTCCTTGGGGACCATTTGTTGCTGCTGCTTCTTTCATGTTGTAGTGCTGTTTAACTGTAGAAACTGTGCTTTTAATATATTCGTTCACTGATGAAACATTGTTCACAGCATCTTGAAGGGATAGTGATACTGCGTCTACGGTATGAGCACCAATTCCAAAACTGTCGTACAGCTTCCCAAGGGCTTGAAGAAAGGACACTGTCCCAGTAAGCAGTGAAACTATTTTTACCGTTCCAGCAGCTACGTCCGACACCAATATAGTATTCTGGAAACTGCATATTCCGTGGACTTGCGCAAAGGTACAGGTTTCACCAGTTCCATCATTAGTTCCTTCTTTTCCAGTGCTCATCAATGTTTTAACAGTTGAGGTTTTCGGATCGAAGGTCTTGACTTTCCTATCTACGATGTCAGTGAACACAATTACGTCGCCATAATGACACAGCCTCATGATTTCACTGCATGAATCGGACGAATTCTGCAGGAGCTGTTTGACGTTTGAATTTGCCAGGTCACAATCGTATAACCCACCTGCATTACCAGATGCAGCCAAGTATGCGGACCCTCTCCACACACAAAGAGATTCAATACTGGAAACGCCATCGGGATAATGTGTTTCTCGCATGCTAGTACCAACAACAGCAACTCCATTGCAGCTTACTTCCAACTGAATAATCCTTTGGTGCTCGTCATCCGCACACAAAAGGATGTCTGTACTCGCCACACAAATTGACGTTGGTTTTACTAAAGGCGTGTTAAGCTGGATGATTTCTGGGTTCTTAACTTGTGCAGCTAAAGCTTTTAAATGTGTCGCGAGTCGCTTCCGAAGAATTGGCACTGTGCCATCCTGTGATAAACTAAAACGACTCAGCTGTGAAAGTAGTTCTGCTCGCAATTTCAGGCCCTCCGGCTTTAAACGTACTTTGCCTTCCAAGTCAATAACACGGATTGCCCCAGATCCTCTTTCAGAAACGAAAACTATACCACTGGTAAAACAAAGGTCCTTTGCATCCTTGAATGTCTCTTTCCGAACGTGAACATCAACTGGTTGATGCAAACGTAATTCCACGAGACGAGCCTCTTGAGATTCGAAGTCATAGTCTAACACAAGCACTTTTCCTTGAGCCCCACTTTCAATCGCAATGGGTCTTTTGCATATCCCACTCTGATTGGATTTCCAAAAGTGATACTTTTCTGGAACTA